TGAAAGGCACACAAACATCTTCCAATTGGAATCACTCCAAAATTCATCCATTTGATTACTTTTTGCTTCAGAGGAAGTCGAATGACCTACATTGAAAATATAATTCAAAGTATCAAATTTCTATCAAAATAACTAATAAATTAATACTAAGATTAGGGTAAAAATATATGATATAGTATGGACTCATTAACAGTACCTGACAAAAATTAGCCGCACAATGTACGATGAAATGATGTGACTAGAGGATCCCCGGGATCCTCACAAAGAGGATCCGGCGATGATCCTCTCTCTTGTGGTGAAGTATATTATGATTTAGGCCCAAAAAACTAAAGGTTATGTCAAAATTCTGTTAACTTTATCTGTTTAACGTCACATATAATTCTCACATGCTAACAATTAACAGAGAGTTGGCGAACCTTTTAATTTGGGATCTAAATCCTAATGAACTTTACCACAAAGGTTTAGCATTTAGATCTTAATTTTTTTTGTCTCAATGGCTATCTTTACATGAACTAATAATCTAATAGGCTTATATAGTAAATATGGGAGATCATTTCAAGACACATCAAGTGCAATGCACGTGCCTTGCCAATGAGAGACCTGCATCACTAAATGGTAAAAATGAGTTGCATCATCTTGTAACCTGTATGATATATGGAGTGGGGACTGGGCAGGTCAAACTTTCGGAGTGGAGATGGAGATGGATCATCTTTACTTTTGGGCTTGAATGACATCCTTATGTGAAAATCAATAATTATGCGAATTCCTTGTACTGTAGACGATGTCACAGTCACTGAGTCACAGATCGGTTTGATCAGCTGAGCTTCTGGGCCAGAGGATCTCGTTTATTGGACTGATGAGATTTCTAGGACATTATTTGGACGGTAGGTCCGTGTGTAAGTCCAATATTGTGGACAGGTGTCATGGGTCAGACTCCAGATTAGGCAGGGACCTCACGGTGCGTGTTACTGCTGCGCTTGCGCTGTAACTTGTCCTTTACAATTTGTCCTTGTCAATTTGACAAAACAGCAATGGATGGCTGGCCCGCTGGGTGGATCAACTGTACCAGTGGTTCAACTCCGGTCCAGGCAGCCCCGATCTATCCAATACTACTCGGTTTCAAACAACCCCATTGGTAGGTTAGGTTTGGGACCAAGGTCACCAAACTATTTTATTAAGGATTTTTATCGTTGGCAAATGTTATTGGCATTTCAAAAATCTCATTCTAGATTCCTTATAAGTGTAATTTTCTTTCCTAATAAACAAATTTTGAAGTATAGAATGAAATTTTTGAAATGCTAATAACAATCCCCTTATCCCATCAAGATAGTCCTTGAAATTGAAAATCGATCAATATAATATCTGAAATTTACCACCAAACATCAATGTCGTTCTTGCCGTTTAATTCTGTCAATTTTTCTATTAGTGTGCTAACTCGGCACACATGTAAATCTAACATCCAATGAGATGATGCCACGTGGATTTAACAAAAGAAATTTTCCTTTTGTTAAATATTATTATAAGAATTAAAAACAATTTTTCTTTTTGTATACTTTAAAACTAAAAAATGCAAAAAAATAAATAAAGAATATGAACTGTTCATCTTCTTCTTGCCCTCCCACCCCAGTCACTCCCAGCCCAGTTGTTCATCTTCTTGTTCTTTTTTTCCATTTTTTATTTTTCAAGTTTTAATTATATAAAAACAATCGAGATGGACGAATCGATCTCGCGTTTCAGATGTTTTATAGCGACTCGTATATAGAGACAAAAATCAAAACCCGGAAGCTTTATCTCTCGTCTTCGCTCCCGGGTTTGCAGAAATAGGAAGTCAATCGGAAATCATGGAAGCTACGCAAGCTCTGGTGACGAATCTGATTTCAGAATCACCTACCTCTAACCCCAATAATTGTTGTGCCAATACAGGAGAGAAAATCGCAGAGAGAGATGAAAAGAGAATGAAAGATCATGGGCTGGGTTCTTCTTTAGAAGCAAAAGAATAAAGTAAAAGTGAAGATGACAATAAATGATTAGAGGGAAAGTGACGATGACAACGTAAGAAGCGACACGAATGCTTTCAAAGTGTATAAATGGACGGCTGCTTGGGGTTGGGGATGGCGGACATCGCATAGGGAGTGGGGAAATGCGGCTGGGTACATTCTTCTTGGCCCGTTTTTTAATAAATTTTAAAACACTTTTAAAACTTTCTTTTGTTAAATCCACGTGTCTTCATATCATTGGATAGTGAGCTTACACGTGTGTCAAGTCAGCACACTAACAAAAAAATTGAGGCAAGAACGACAGTGATGTTTAGTGACAAATTTCAGAGATTATATTGATCGATTTTCAATTTCAGGGATCATCTTGATGGGATATGTCAATTTTAAAGATCATTTATGATAAAAAAAAAAAAAAAAACCTTTTTATTAATATAAAGAGATTATTAGTATATTAAGGAACCAACATTCTAAGTAAGGTAATGTTGAGAAAATTAAATTTGTAAATTAAATAACATGAAAGTTAATGATTGAATATTATTAAGTTCTTTTTTGTCAAAATATTGTTTAAGTATTGATTAACATACTTATTTCTTATTAATAACACATTATTTATTTTCTAAATTTAATATGTAGATTTAGTCCCCACCTCAAAGTGTGCAACTGAGATTTTAACAAGCACAAATAGTTGCCTGCAAATTAAATAGAAACTGTAAGGTTGGGGGTAAGAATGCATTAAGGAGTGTCGCGCTTTCTGTAACCCTTATTATAGGGCCCAGTTTAGTGACTACCGGCTTCAGACCCAAACTCTGATAATATAAAAAAGCCCAATGAAACAGCTGGGAACTGTTTTGGACTTGTTAGACCATCTCCAAATCTAACGAGCAAACCATGGATTCGTTCAGCTACTTAATACTACGGTGTAGTACTTCTTTTCACTTATAAGTGAAAAGTCTTAGGTTCGATTCTTGTCAAAAACGAATTTGAATAACATTATTGCTAGCCCATTGAGGCTTAGCCCAATCTTCCACCCGTTACTGTAGATAATATCATTTATTAAAAAAAAATAGCCTTGTTCATATTATAACTCTACAATAAATGATGTCAAGTCATATTCATATTCATCTCCGGTCGGATGGACTAAACATTGCCCTTCAATAATCTATTATTACAAAGTTTATTTCTTAAATTTATTGATTAATTTACTTTTTTTTTTTAATAAACGATATTATCTACACTAACAGGGAGGGGTTAGGTTTAAACTCGCAATGGGCTAGCAATAATATGGTTTAAACTCGTCTTTTACGAGAACCAAACTTAAGATCTCTCACTTATAAGTCAAGAGAACTACTATTAGACCATAATATTAAGTGGCTTGATTAATTTGATTAAACTAGCGTATTAAAATAAAGTTATTCGGAAATCAACATCTTATTTATGAGATCTCTAATTTTCTCCTTGTACTGCAATTCTGTTCTCCTTTAATTGTTGTTTCACTCTGATTTGGATCTACGATGCTTATGTGCTTTGAATTTTGTTTGTCTGCTGGGGAAATCCTAGAAAATAAGTGAAAACCTAAATTCAAATACTTGGAATTTAGTTATTGTTTGTATTGCAAAATCATAAATTTGAATGTGATCTCTAATTTTAGCATCTGCGCACAGAATCTGGGGATTGTGTTGTATTGGGATTGATTGATTGATTGATCATAGATTAGCTTCAGACGCTGCAATTTCACCTAGAATTTAAGGTCCCCTTTCAGATTTTTTTCATTCACTTCCAGCCCTCCTCTAGTCACTCCTCGGAGATATCCTAATCCTAGCACACGAAGACTAGGCCCCGGCAAACGGGCTGGGCATCTAGCCAAGGTTGGCCAGCCCGATGCTCCTTTAACCATGCCTTGGCCGGTCCGATGCCCTCTTAAGCTAAGGTCGGCCAGTCATGTTCAAGCCATATTTTGGGAATAATACTTAGGTACCTAAAAGATAAGTAGGAGCTCCTACTTGAAATTTTTAGTGTTTGAATCACAGAGCTTTGTGCTTATAATTAGAACTGTTCATATTATGAATTACATTGTAAAGATCATCTATGCAAAAATTGAATTAAAACTAAGGTCGTTAATTGAGTCAATTTATTCTAGCAAATATATAGACGGCTCGTAATGCTTTAACCAATTCAGTTTATTTGTTTTTATACGGTTGTATGACTAAATGACCTTAGTTTTAATTGATTTTTTGCAAAGGCGATCTTTATAGGGTGATTTATAATATGAACGATTCTGATTATAAAAGCGAAATTATAAATTGGCAACAATTGAGTAGCCAAGTATTGTTCATTTTTTCAGCCCTTTAACCCTCTCCATTAGAAATGGTCTTAATTTTGTGATTGGGACAGACTGTCTAATCATAAACATATGTGATTAAGATGGTAAAAGGGGTTAATCCTCAAAAACCTGGCAGCACAAAAGGCCATTTCTCACATACGAGAGGAGGAGATTGTGTTTTCTTCATCTTATCAATCATACGATGAATGTTCTTTCAATCATGAAGGTCACTTTCCTAATTAGAGAATTAGGACTAATCAAATGCAAATTAAGAATGGTGTGGAACCGAAGGGTTGATGAATCAGCTAGGAAACCATGGTCTGAGACACACTTCTAAGGCAACCAAATTGGAGTATGGGAAAAGGTGGAGGCATTGAAGACACAGGCCTTGTACAAGACTCCAATGAGAAGCTTGGGGATTTACTTAACACAAAAAGTGACCTAAAATGGTAAAAGAAACAAGGGAAGTAATTTCCGCACACTCATTTTCTTTTCTGCATACCTCTATTTAGTTCTAACCTTTAAATTTATTAAATCAGATAAGAATTTCGAGACAATAATAAACAAAGCATTCAGAAAGTGAAAGCAAAAAAAAGTAAGCAGAAATCAGAAAATGTTGCTTGAGGCATAAGGAACACGAGAGAGGGAGACAACGTTTTTTTTTGTTAAGAAGTGTATGAAAAAGCAAATGTGATTGGTGGGGTGGCTCCTTGTGCTATAAGATATAAAAGGGTGTGTGTGTGTGTGACAAGGACATGGCACCAAGAGCAAAATGTGATACATGATAGGCCTGCACTGCAAAGGGAATGGAAGTGAACACATTGTCATAGAAAACAGTGACTTTAAAAACTTCACCCTTTCTCTAAGCAATACCTACATTTCATCTTCCATTCCATTCCTTTCTCTTACTGTTTATTTCTTCTCTCATTTGGTTTCACCTACATGAGCGCCACATCCTCTTCTCCAAATGGGGTGGCTGCACTCCATCTTCTCTCCTCTTAAGAAGATGTGGTTTCGCTTCCATTCCGCTCCGAAGAAAAGTAAGTTCTCATAACTCTCTCCAACCCTTACATTCTCTCCATACTTCTGCACACGCAATTACACATTCTAGTTCCATGTTCATGCATACAACCTGCATTTCCCACCACTTTCGAGCCTTCCGCACAATATCAACCTCTTCTTTCGGAAACTGTGTCGCGCGCGCACACAAACACTCATGTTTAATATCTACAATCTACTGCAACTACTAATATCTAGGATCTTTTTGTGGTTGTTTGTAGCAGGAAGAGGGATTTACATTCTGTATGAGGATGTAAAATCCTGCCCCGATGAGGATGTGCATGTTCTGTGGTCAATACTAGTGGAGGCCCATGCACATACACGTACTACACCTTCTTTGCCTTTGCCACCATCAAAACCATGAATTCATATATGAAGGCTCCAATGTTCTTCATAGCATATGAGTGAGCGAGATTTCCTGCTGCCAAGTATATACACTATTTAAATACACACACACACACACACACACACACATATATATACTTTATTTTGATACTGGGTGTACATGTAAAAAGGTTTTTCCTCAGTTTCCGTTCCAGTAAATTTAATATTGAAATATGCCTTTCTTGTGATTTGGGAGTTTTTTGAATGGCTTCAAAGCTGAATGAATCTTTCTTTTACATATTCAGATACGATTTATGGTTCTTTAAAAAGAATCGCCGACGTATTTCATTCATGAAGGCAGCAAAAGAATACGATCAGACATGTAGTTTATGCACAAATTAATCAGAGGGCAGTTGGTTTTAGTTGTTTTCTGTTTCTTCCATGCGTGTTTCTTTTCGTTGTTTAGTCTATTTGCAGTGGTTGAGGTGGTTCTCTTTGTTTCTTCAGTTTGTGGATCAAAGAATGGATGGGACACCCTCCATGATTTACATGTCTAAAATAAATATAAAAAATCATATCATTAAAGTAGTTTATGATTGCACAAAAATGTCAAGCAATCTAAAATAATGTGATTTATTGACTTTGACTCTAGAAAGAGTAGTGACGAAATTTTTATGTGTAGTTTTATATTTGAAATTTGGGATGCCGTGGACAATCCCTTTACAATGTGATCGACAAGACAAATAATAGAATATAAGAATTAAAGACTTTGATCAATAAAGAAGACATCTTTAGGAATCGTTTTGTTTCATACCATTTTGTTTTTATTTTATTTTTTTAACTGAAAATTAAAAACTAAAACGTAAAATCTACTTTTTGAGTTTTTAAATTCGGTTTTTATAAAAGATAAAACTTGGAAACTGAAAGTATTTCAAAACGAATTATCAATTTTAAAAAAAAAAAAATTAAAACGAAATGACTATTCAAACAACATGTTAGTTAGTACAACAATTATAAAATGCCAAAATGAGTTAGAATTGACTGTTGATAAATATAACAATTCAAATTCTCTGCGTATACAAAAAGAATTTGTAACTCAATTAATTAAAAGTGTTTCACCATCCAAATGAAAAAGAGGGAATGTGTTGTTGATACTTCATTGGAGATTATTCTTCACGACGTATGGTACTTTGCAAACAAATTTTCTCTGATTGATTTTTGTTATGTTTCGCGGGATGGGAACCTTGCTGCTCATGCAAGGGCGGCGCGTGTTGGTTCCTTCTTGTGGGATTCATTAAGGTCTAAGTTTTTGTTTAACATATTAGCTGAGGATGTAAATGTTTCTATTCGATTATGATTTAAATAAAAAGAAAACTAATTAAAAGGGCTTGAAAACTTTGAGTTTTAATGATAAGGACAAAATAAAGGGTAAAGTGAATAGTACTATGATTGATTTTTTAGTGTAAAAATATGATTTTTTTGTTAAAATGAACAGTACCGGGAGCTTTTCGTTAAAGTTCCCTTAAATAAATTCTACCTTTGGAAAAGAAAAAAAAATTAATTAAAAGTGTTTACTTGTATTACAATATTATTTGTGAGAGCATTTTTGCTCACCACCCTATTAATCACCATTAGATGAGTTTGAATTTTAAGATTCGTGTAGTAGATAAGCACAAATCTCAAGATTCAAACTCATCTAAAGGTGATAAATAGGATGATGAGCATACACCACATTAAATGGTGGTGAGCAAAAATGCACTCTATTATTTGTATGGATTTTTCTTTTTTCAAATTTTTATCTTCAGAATGCTGTTATGTATTCCTTTGATGGAAACCAAATTTGTAAACTAATTGATGTGTCACTAATAAAAAATAAACACGTTAATCAACACTTGAGTAATAATCCAATTGTCGATAACCACATTATTTGATTTATAAAATTTTGTTAAAAATTTGACTAATGCTAGGGAGACTAAATTTATAGACTAAATATTGTAAACTAAATGACATGCAAGTTGGTGATTGGATTATTACTTAATTGTTGATAAACTTGCTATTTTTCTATTAGAGACACCTAATTTGATTTGCTAATTTAATCTACAAATTTAATCTTTCTTGCATTACTTTAAATTCCTTTAGCATAGTAGAAAACGTATTGAATCTCGGTGTCCTCCGACCTAGTCCATGGATGAATAAAAAAGCAATAATCAAAAATGTCTTTAGGTCATTACTTTATGTCTTTCAGGAAATGGATCATCTTTGGATCCCTTCCACTAAATCCTTTTCATTAAATAATTCGAATCCTTGAAATTTGATTCAACGACTAAAGTTATTATAACTTTTAAAGTGGATTCCTGTTTATAGCGGTTGGATCAAATTTCAAGGGCTCGAATTAGTTAATGAGCAGAACTTGGTGGATCCCTTCCATATCATTTATGTCATTTTCTTATGTGTGACTCGAAAGTTTGATGACCAATTTTGGATGAAGTGGCATTGAGACGTTATTTTTTTTTATCCTTTTCTTTTGTTGTTTAATTTAAGTATGCGTTGGAAGCAAGACACCTGGGCTTATGTAACTACACCACGTCATAAGTGAGATTTAAGTGAGGTTTACCTTAAGGAATTTTAACGAAAAACTTCCGATACTATTCACTTTAATGAAAAACCATATTGTTACACTAAAAAGTCAATCATGATACTATTCACTTTACCATTTATTTTGTCTTTATCTTTAAAACTCAAAGTTTTTAAATTATTTTCATTAGTTTTTCTTTAATCTTAATATTTTGGGATGTGATATCCACACAACCCATTTTATTTTTCATACATTCTTCTAATTTTCGATTGTCGGATCGGATAAATTGAAGAAAATCAACGGACAAAAATTAACTAAAAGTGTGTAAAATAAAACGGAATGTGTGAATAATTCACCCCAATATTTTTCACTCTATTTTTAGATATTTTATAGGGTATGACAAGTCTCCGAAAGTGCATATCCTCTCCACACCCCAAATATTTTTCACTAGATTTTTAGATATTTTATAGGGTATGACTTCCAAAGGGACAAAAGTTGTCTGGCCTCCCATTTTCGATGCCTTTCCGTGCTCTTCTGTTTATATGGTCACGGTTAAGCTACGTCAACATTTTATATTACTATTCATTTTTGTCGTATTATCTTTATAAAAAAATAATATAAAATGTTGACGTGACTTAACTGTGATTACACAAAACAGGAGGGTACGGGAGGGCATCGGAAATAGGAGGGTAGACAATCCTTGTCCTTCCGAAAGTGCATATCCTCAATATTATTACAACAAAAGAAAAAAAATGGCAAAACTCAGATTTTAATTACCTAGTGCAATTTATGTCACACATATACTATCACGTGGATAAAATAAAGATATTTAGAAGGAAAAAACAAAAACCCTATTTACGAGTTGCCTAGCCGTAGATCTAGGATCTATTCAAACTAGAATTATGGTAAACTTTCACCCTGAAGACTCGCAATATGGAAAGAAATGATTCACGCACTCCTTTTTTCCTTATCAACACCCCTATTTGTTTATAACTGTTAATTTTCTTTTTATTTTATTCAATCAAAATACCAAAAATCGGCAGGAGTGTATGATGAGAAAATGTACGTGCCAAAATCACTTCCCTTCCAAAATGGTGTTAATTAGGTTGCTTATTTCTAGTAATAAACTAACAGTAGGAGTTTCAAGTTTTTGGCACCAATCTCATTTAGTTTCGTTGCTGACTTTGTTCTTAGCAACTTAGTTGAGCTGAGAAAGTTTTGTAAAGTTCTAGTGAATGACAATGAGTGTTTGATATTGCTTGGATAACAAGTAACTTGTTTTACGAGTTATTTGATGTACAAGTGATACAGTTGGTCTCTACTCCATAAGGATTATGGAGTCTTATCCATGCAACTAACTTAAACAAATCCTGATAAGGGTTTAATGCAAAGATGTTGAATCATGATAGGACTCTAATAAGGGTATACAATCGTTGATAGGCCAGTGGTGTAACCCTAACTGATATATATATATATATATATATATATATATATATCAAGTCGTAGTCTCTGCTCCCATACGAGAAAAACCCTAATAGACTATTGAGACCTATTCACACAGAAAGGGAATTATTGAGTAGTGCGAGTAGAAGACTACCTTGCAACTTAGACATGGCATCGAACACAGGTAAGTGTTCATATGATTACTTTATGGTAAACACTGTATTATACTTGGGGAAGGAATTGTCATGTAATCCTAGTACCTAGTTGATAGTTCTGGCTTATAGGTTTTGTTAAATAGCTTACAAGTTTCAGAGGCAATTTTAACAAAAGCTAAAATGTCCCCATTCCTTACAAAAATTAAATTAAAGGGCGGTCATGAGGAGACTTGCTACCAAATTAATTCACAGAATGGCATTAATTTTGTATAAAATGGGGGTTCCCAACTGTCAATATAATAACAAGTTCATATAATCATTATTGACATTTTGAAAACAACTAGTGCTTAATACCTGCGCGTTGCCACAGGTTTGAAGTTAAAAAGTTAAAAATGAAAAAATTCGGTTACAAAATAGGAACAACGATAGCAACAATGAATTTGGAATAACGTTAACTGGAAAAGGTTAAATTTAGATAATATAAAGATACAAATTATAGTTATCCATTATATTGTAGCAGTTATATGTATTTCTAGATTAGGAGGATTACATTCAGTTACAAAAAATAGAAATTCCCGGTATAAAGATACAAAAAACATTATAATAACTGAATTTCCTCTAATAACCCCATCTAATATAGTGTATTCCAGCTTTTGCATACAAAAAATGAGGAGATGTTGTATGGGGATGCAAAAAATATTGTTGAGTTTTGGGCAAACAAAGATATGTACAGGTTTTTAAACATGTTAAACATGATTTAATATAGATAAACAAAACACGGTAAACATTCTTGATCAGAGTAGTGAAAGGTGTCTTCAGCCCTTGTTGTCATGGATAAAACAACTTGAACAAAGAGGAATAGAACAGAACATATTTAGATAGGATTTAGTATCACATTTAAATGGTAATGGAGGAAAAGATAAAACAACTTGAAAGCATACTAACCTAATCATTGTTTCCAGTGCTGCTTGCTGTGTGGCTTTGCCTGAGTAGGAGGTGATTTTTTTTTTTTTTTTAATAACTTGATCGGAACCTCATCATATTCTCTTGGATCAACTTTTGAAATTTCTTCAGATTCACTGAGTTGAATGATTATGCAACATTGATATAGTTTTTCACAGAAAGAAGAAAAGATGATTTTTTTTTTTTTTATAATTATTGAAAATGTTTGATATGTAAATTTTAAGAAAGTTGAAGTGAACACATGGAAATTTTTTAAAACATGATGTAAAAATATAAACATCATATTTGAGAATAGTATGAAATTAGATATCAAACCTTTGTTCACCAGGAATGAAAAGCGCTCTTCTCACAGATTCTCTTTTTCGTTTATAAGATTGATCACTTGATTCAAGTGTTGAGAACGATTCAAAAACAAAAGAACAGGACTGGCAAGAGCGGGAGAAGCAAACAAAGACAACGAAGAAAGCAAACGATTGCCAAAAGCAGGAGAAGCAAAGAAAAACAACAAAGAAAAATTCAAAAGAAAACGGAAGAAAGAAGAACAAAGGTAGAGATACTACCTTGTGGTGATGATTGACACGTGAACGGGTATAAATTTTTATTGTTTGTTGTGCCACAAATCATGTGGCCCAATTTTAATCACATTTTTTTAATATTTTTTTTCTTCCCATCAGAAATACATGAGTTTAAAAAATTAAGAAGGTATAAAAATGTTATTGTTTGTTATCATAGAAAAATTTTAAAAAATGTACAATGATAAATTATACATATATTAAAACTCAGTTAGGTAGCACAATAAAGACCAAAGAAAAAGTCACTTATTATAAATCACCTACTTTGCTTTTGTTTGAGCAGCTCTGGGAATCGATGGTTTTCATATCCTGTAAATTTGGACTCTTAACTTCGCTAGCTTTATATACGATTGTAATTTATTGATAGGAGTTGGAGCTATATTTTTCATTTTCCCTGGTCAAACAAAGCATAAATTTTTTAATTTCTCTTTCGTTCTTTATTTATTATTTCCTATTTTCTCTACTCTAATTTAAACATCAAATTCATCCAAAAACGGAATTTTTTAATAATTATTTTGTGACATCCCACATCGCCCAGGGATGATCCTTATATGTATATCCTATCCCTACCTAGCACGAGGCCTTTTGGGAGCTCACTGGCTTCGGGTTCCGTAGGAACTCCGAAGTTAAGCGAGTAGCGCGCGAGAGCATTCCCAGGATGGGTGACCCATCGGGAAGTTCTCGTGTGAGTTCCCAGAAACAAAACCGTGAGGGCGTGGTCGGGGCCCAAAGCGGACAATATCGTGCTACGGTAGTGGATCGGGCCCGGGTTGTGGTGGGGGCCCGGGCCGGGATGTGACAATTTGGTATCAGAGCTTGGTGGCTACGAGGAATCCAACGGTGTTCTGACAGAATGGACAAAAATTAGGACTCACTTTTGGGTGTTTCATCTTAGAAATTGTATCTTTAAAGCTTCCGTACTGTGTAAATGGTTACGTCACTCTCACGTGACGGCCAGCATGCCCTCCTTCGGGACGGGGTGTGTCAATTGGTATCAGAGCTTAGTTTCAATCTTGGACATCTTGAGAAGTTCTAGTGAATTCTGTCAGAAAACTGACACACCCCGTCCCGAAGGAGGGCATGCTGGCCGTCACGTGAGAGTGATGTAACCATTTACACAGTACGGAAGCTTTAAAGATACAATTTCTAAGATGAAACACCCAAAAGTGAGTCCTAATTTTTGTCCATTCTGTCAGAACACCGTTGGATTCCTCGTAGCCACCAAGCTCTGATATCTTAAACCTGGAGGGGCGGGGTGTGACAATTTGGTATCAGAGCCTAACCCTGGCCGCGTGTGTGCCGACGAAGACGTCGGGCCCCTAAGGGGGGTGGATTGTGACATCCCACATCGCCCAGGGGTGATCCTTATATGTATATCCTATCCCTACCTAGCACGAGGCCTTTTGGGAGCTCACTGGCTTCGGGTTCCGTAGGAACTCCGAAGTTAAGCGAGTAGCGCGCGAGAGCATTCCTAGGATGGGTGACCCATCGGGAAGTTCTCGTGTGAGTTCCCAGAAACAAAACCATGAGGGCGTGGTCGGGGCCCAAAGCGGACAATATCGTGCTACGGTAGTGGATCGGGGCCGGGTTGTGGTGGGGGCCCGGGCCGGGATGTGACATATTTCCTATTTTTGTGCTCTAAATTAAACACCAAATTTACCCAAGAACATAAAATAAGCAAAAATAAGTGGGAAAAAAAAATAAAAAGAAAAGAAGAACAACATACCTGAAGTAGAACCCGCGCGAAAATGGCAACACAACACCTGGGAAAAATGAACAACATCGTTTCCTGAAAATACAAAATAGAACCAAATCATGCACCCATAATAACAATGACGACACACAAACAAAAAAAAGACGAAGCACCGTTTGCTAAAACGCAAAAGAAAGAAGCAGAAAAAGCAAAGGAAAAATTAAGGAAAGAAAGAGATAAAAATGAAAGATAAAGGGAGAAGCCCTCTCAGCAGAAAATCCCTGATGATCAACACGTGGAAGACAAAAACAGAGCAAAACCAAATAATAAAATAACCAAAAGTGTTGATGCACAAAATCGGCAAAGACTTTGGTACAACAGAAAGTGTCAAGTTTGTGACCTTCGCTAGATTGCTCTGGTCATTAGTGTGGATAAGTATGTAAATGAATAGAGACAGGGAAGCAAACAACACAAGATGTACGTGATTCACCCAGATTGGTTACGTCCACGGAGTAGAGGAGTTCTTATTAGTTGTGAAGGGTTTACACAAATACATAGGTTCAAACTCTCTTTTAGTGAGTTCTAGTGAATAGTTTAGTACAAATGACATTAAAGATTATTGTGGGAGAATGATCCCCTTTTATAGAAGAGAGTTTCTAGCTTTGTTCTGACATTGACACGTGTCGTGTTGTGATTGGCCTCTGATATCGACACGTGTCGCGCTGTGATTAACTTCTGATACTGACATGTGTCGTGTTGTGATTGGCCTCCTGGTTGGAGGAAAAGTCTTGTGGGTCCTTGACGGTATGTTGTTGACTGGTGCTTAATAGTTTCAGGATTGGTCAAGTATGGTACAAACAAAAGGCAAGGTGGAAGACAGCGGGGCTTCTCACAATTTTTAATATTTGGTTTCCATGCATTCAAAATTTTTTATAATTTTTTGTTGTGTTATGTGCCATAAACCTGTATTAACTCATTTTTTTAAATATTTGTTGTCAGTTTTTTTTGTTATTATTTTATCTTTCTTTGTGCCCACACTCTACAGGGGACTTTGCATTCAAATGTTTTTATAATATTTTATTATGTTCTGTGCCACAAATCGTGTTCCGTGCCACCTACTGCAGGAGACTCAGTGTGGAAGGCAAAAAGCCGAGCAAAATCAAAAAATAAAATAATCAAAAGGCAAAGCAATGGGGACAGGTGGGTTTCTCACATTTTTTAATAATTATTTTGTCCATGCATTCAATATTTTTATAATTTTTTATTGTGTTGTGCGCCACAAACCATGTGGCCTGATTTAAGTCATATTTTTAAAATAATTTTTTGTCAATTTTTAATTAATTATTTTATCTTTCTTTGTGCCACAACTCAACGATCATAGACACGCAACCTGGGAGGACAAAGGATGATCAACACGTGGCAATCATGGGCAATACAGGTATTTTATTGTGTGAAGTAGGCAGCATAATGGTAATGGACCCAAAAAATCAGGAGCATTTCCGCTCTTTTACTATTGCTGAAGAGTGCTAAAACTCAACTGAGTTTTAGTATATATAATGTCAAGAGTCAAACTGAAAACCCTGTTCAGAGTAGCACTCATCCAGAAATTTGCTGGATCCGTACGTTAGCGTGAAAATTCCCTCCAGAAATCCTGCACATACGAGTATTTCCTTTCAATAACAGTAAAATACTACGTCGCAATGACTCTCGTGATCACTAAAACGAAACCTGTGGAACTTTGCAAGCGTTTTAGTGACAGGAAGGCTTAATTGGCAACGAATTAAGTTCAAGTACTCAATGTATAGAACGCTTTCATACTAATTAGTAAAACGGTTGCAAGACCGCGTGTGATCACACAAATACATAAGATTTCAAGGTTGTTCAAAATTAACAATACATAAACGAAAAACAACTTAGGAAGACTTACTGTTATACTAACCAGGTGCTTTAATAGCTTTATAAAGCTGATGGAGAGGGAACGCTCCACCACTTTTGGAAGCCACTCTTTTAAGTAGGTGTGGCAGTCTATCTCAGCATTTGTTATGGCACCAAGAGGAGTGACAGTAATCTGATGAATCGTGAGTACTGTGTTAGTGTATGGTCATGCAAACTACAAAGATACATTTGCAGAAACTAAAACGACACACGCACATATCCTTCTTGAAGAAAGCAGTGGTCATTATCATCCTCATCAACTTGGGCACCCCTTACCTACAAAATTGGAAACAAGAGTTACCCCGAAATGACGCAAGCAAACCAGGAAAATATTCCTTTTAATTTTGGCTGTTCTAAACAGCTCAGATTTGTACTACTCATTCACCCAAGTCAACCACAATCAAAAGAACGAGAAAGAAAGGAAACCAACACATGAAAATATCTCAGAAAGTATTGCACGTTGCTGAATGCAGAATATTAAAGAAAGCAAGTTTTATCATCCTTACTTCCATCATCTAAAATATTAGTTAACCTTAAACTGAATGTTGTTTGAACCTTATACATGATTACCATCATTTCCCTCCCTACTATCCTTGTGGCAACAACTGCAACTAATATCGGTATCGCCACCATCGTTACCACCTCATGTTCAGACATAACCAAATTGAGTCAGTTCTCAATTTACAGCACTTTAAACTTCGGCATGGATAACCCGGCATTTAGCGCTAACCAGTTTTAAAGATACAACTTTAGCACTACAAATTTATCATTCAATGCTTAAATATGAGTTTTGTAAATAAGGCCCCTGACCACCCTTCTCCCCCTAAATTTGCTGGTATTTGAAGATACCTCGATTCAAGAATTGCAACTCGTTTCAAAGGAAGAACAGAAGAATCGAACGTGTCCCTCAACAACCCCATGTTGATGTACTCCAAAAAGGATCAGATTAAAAGAAAGTTGTTTCAACCAGATGCACAGTTAGAAGAGCCCCTTGGGCAATTTTTAAAACTCTCAGCTGCTAAAGTGCAAGGTAACTTTTTCAGAGAAATGTTAGTGACGGAGTAAACTCAGAAATTCTAGGTGGAGTGTTTCTAGACCAGTTTCTAAAGAACTTAGACTAGCACCAACAGAGAGACACCAAAGACTGCACCCTTTGGTTACCTGATTCCTTCATCAGTTTGGATTCAAGATTTCTCAATCAATTACCTAACCAAGAGAACTAACAACAAGCCAATTATTGTGCTTATACGGAAGAAATGACAAGGAGGTAAATAACTAATCCAGTTTTATTTAAAACAAAACAACAAAAAATGGAAAAGGGGAGCAGCCTAGAATACAGTATATAAAGCAGAAAGATAGAGAAAAGGACCCACTTCTCTGGCGAAGTAAAGATTTTCAGCTGGCGTGGTTGATGTATCACTTTCAGCTGATGCAGTTGAATTTACCATTGTTGACAACATTTTTCCGCCTTCCGTGTCCGAAGTAACTTGCCTCCACCCCATTTTTATCATACTTTTGCCTTGCTTAGTCAGCTTATACCCCTATGAAGGCACAAGAGAAGAACAGAACAATATTGCAACGCCACATGTTAATATCAATGCTTAATAGAAAGACTAATTCTCTTGTCATAAAACTGGAAGCGGGATCCATTTCACTATAAGAAAACCAAAGTTAATGTGCAATTGAGTAATGCTCATTAAAGCATATAACATTAAACAAACTGCCTACTGTACAAATCTTGCATTGAAAGGAAGTCGGAGGAAAAGAAAACGAAAGCCGAATAAGGAAAGGAAAGAAAGAAAAGCTAGTGATACAAATTACTTCTGCAGTGCAATAGCCTGGATGAAACACATTCGAAAAGAGATATCACTTTGCCTATCGTTGAGCTTTGTCTAGTGCAGTATAGTCAGTTTTAAATTGACTCGCTACAAGCACATTAGAAAAGAGATATGACAGAGAAGTAGGCGTGCAAGTTGGCAAATGTAGATGTTAAGGAGAAACTGCATTGGACGAAGGTCGCTAACCTGAATAATACAGAACACAGCATGTATCCCCGGAATTTACCTTATGATTAGCAACGTTACATGGAAGATCTACATTCAAGAAACATCTTTGAGGATAGGTTTTGTTTCTTAATTCCACCAGTACTCCATTTATGATCGGTAAGCAAGCCTCCGCAGCAAGTGTGAAGTCATTAATGTTGCTCTTACCTCTAACCCTGTACGGCCAGTACTCAATGTAGTCATATAGGAGATTAAAAATAGGTAAAGAAAACAAGAATTTACTTTTTCTCATGGTAAAAAAAAAAAAAAAGAAAAGAAAGGAAAAATAAAATTACAAGAGGAACTAAATACTGACCCTAACAATTTGAAATGTTCATAATTCCATAAGATCCATTAGTCATACATGGGCAGAGGAAATATTGTTCATCAAGCAAATGTAATCATCAAACCTGTATACTTACCAATCATATGATATAGAGATAGCAGGTACACCGTTAAGAAAGGCCTCACGGGCACCAGCCACCGTTCCAGAGTAAACGCTACAGTTGCAATAAAGAACTCTGTCAATATTGTTACGGGCTGAAAGAAGCAAGAGTAGTAAAACTAGCACTTTGAATTTTTAGGAACAACTGGATTCGTAAGCGACTCTTGAGAACAAAACTTAGTAGCTGTGTTTTCTAGATTTCATGAAAATGTTAGATCTTCTCAAAATTTTGGGAAAAGATTGCCTCTTTGTGAGGAGTTGTGTTTGGAATAAAAATCATTCTAGTTTCCTCACCCTACCATCTTTTGGAAACCTAAACCTTTTCAAAAGCAAATAGTTAGTGTAAAACTATATTGGGTTTCAACAATTAAAAGATAATCATTTCAGTTTCACTGGTCAAAGCTGGTGCAAATACACATCTTTATGTTTTATTGTGAGAATTTTGAGGCAAAATCTTAAATCAAGATAACAAATTATGTAAGGAAACAGAAAGCAGAAGATTACTAACATGTGATAACCGCAGTTGCTGCCCTGGTTTATGCCACTGATTACCTGTATGTATAAACAGTAAAACATGTAATTACTAATTACCAATCAGCAAAACCCCAGATAAGAAATGTGATCAAAGGAAAGAGTGCAGAAGTCAGAAATATCTACCAGGTCAGGAATTGAAGGAAAAAGCGTTTTGGAAACACCCAAAGAAGCACAATCAGCTGGAGATCCTGCAAACAAAGTTGATCAAGAACAAAGCTTTTTTACTTTTTAACTTTCTGGGGGAACATGGTAGTAATGATTTTGTATAAAAATTGGAAAAAAACATTCTGGGGTTTTGAAACTTCCATACCAGAAACAGCAAACACTGTTGCCCCATTGATACGCACTTTCTTGGCAGCAATCGGATGGAGCCATGTGATGCAGTGACTCACTGCCGACTTCTCCCTGCAAATGCATACGAATTATGTATTAGAAAAAAAATAAAGGATTGTATTTTGTATGGGGGAAGTGAAGAGTATTTAAATGTTTAATTTTCTTCTTCTTCTTCTTCTGTTTTTTTTTTTTTACGTACGAGTCGGGCGCACAGACGAGGACATTGTAGCGATGGGTGGATACGAGGACTTGGACGAGAGCGAGAATGCCAGGGCCTTCGATTCCGTCGTCGTTTGTGACCATCACGGTGGGCTTGTCGCCGGAGATGACAGTGGTGTTTTCCATTTCCTTGTCTGTCTGTATTTTGGTTTCGTTAAGTTCGGAATTTTGGAGGAGAAGACAGAGAGGGAGTAAGAGTTAAAAATGAACTACGAAATTGTCACGGCGTCAGGCACATCATATATAAGTTCTTGTTTTTTACTTTTAATTTTATCCTTTGACGAAGAGTAAATAAAATTCCAACTTGAATATTTCAATAATGATGTTTTAAGATACTGTAATTTAGAATTCATTTGTAATTTAAAATGATTAAAAACATTTTTAGTAAAAACATTTTTGGATTCCTCTGCAATTTTTTACGTTGGGAGGAAATATTTCTTACATGCATATAGAAAAATGACAGACCAAATGTAAACATGCCACGATTATTTTATAATTTATTTTGTGTGTGACATTCATTGGGATAATTTATAAGATAAGGAAAAATTAGTATTCGGTTTCTAGTTATTAATGTTCATTGACTGAAATCTTATTAGTTTTGAAATTTTGATCAAAATTCATAGCATTAATGTAATAATAAATTTACATGCTAGTTACATAATTTTTTTTTTAAAATAAAAATTAATAATTGATTTAGGATTCTAATACTCATACCTTTATTAAACTCCTAACTTGTCACATCCTAACTCGGGCCCCCACCACATTCCGGGCTCAACTCCACCATAGCAAGATATTGTCCGCTTTGGGCCTCGACCACGCCCTCACGGTTTTGTTTATGGGAACTCACACGAGAACATCCCAGTAACCAAAATCAAGACGTGCTGGCCGTCACGCCTTGATTTTGATCAAGGTGTGTCATAACTAATTTTTAATTCAAAACATTTTCAAAATAAATAAAAAAATTATTTTTATCGTATATGCACCCATTCATGTAATTTTTTTCAATTTTTAATCTTAAAATGTACTCATTCTTAAATATACCAATTTGTTATATGTTAAATGTATCCTTTTTTTTTATAAATATAATCTATTCATTTTTTTTTTCTAACCATTTTTAAAATTATATGGGTACATTCTTTTCTTTTCATTTGAGAATGCATTCATATCAAGTTTAATCGAAAAAATTACTAATGTTATTAAGCCTAATATTTATTACTTTTTCTGTGTGGTTTTGAAGAATGTACCCATGTTTTGGTACAATAATTTTTTTGTTAATTTTGATGAATGTACCCATGTTTATATATACATGCACACAATAGTTTAATTTATATTTTAATATTTTTAATCCCATAAATTATGGGTTTTTATTTAAAATCTCATAATATAAACAACTATAAATTTCAAATTTTAATTTACAAAATAAAGTAAGATACATAGAAATAAAGTATTACATTAATTTCGAGAATTTTGATCAAAATTTCAAAACTAACAAGGCTTAGGTCAAAGAATATTAATAGTTAGAGACTGCATTCAAAGTCTATTTAAAATAAAATATTGAAAAGAGAAATGTTAGGAGACTCTTCCAAAAGTAAAACTCTCCACGAACTTTCTATCACTGGATAATTTTTGTACAATATTTTATGTTGACATAAAATGTGACATCCCACATCGCCCAGGGGAGTGATCCTTAAATGTATATTCCATCCCTACTTAGCACGAGGCCTTTTGGGAGCTCACTGGCTTCGGGTTCCATGGGAACTCTGAAGTTAAGCGAGTAGCGCACAAAAGCACTCCCAGGATGGGTGACCCTCTGGGAAGTTGCTCGTGAGTTCTCAAAAACAAAACCGTGAGGGAATGGTAAGCCCAAAGCGGACAATATCGTGCTACGGTGGTGGAGCGGGCCCGGGAAGTGGCCCATCCCCGGCCAGGATGTGACAATTTGGTATCAGAGCCTAACCCTGGTCGCGTGTGTGCTGACGAGGGCGTCGGGCCCCTAAGGGGGGTGGATTGTGACATCCACATCGCCCAGGGGAGTGATCCTTAAATGTATATTCCCATCCCTACTTAGTACGAGGCCTTTTGGGAGCTCACTGGCTTCGGGTTCCATGGGAACTCTGAAGTTAAGCAAGTAGCGCACAAGAGCACTCCTAGGATGGGTGACCCTCTGGGAAGTTGCTCGTGAGTTCCCAAAAACAAAACCGTGAGGGAATGGTAAGCCCAAAGCGGACAATATCGTGCTACGGTGGTGGAGCGTGCCCGGGAAGTGGCCCATCCTGGACCGGGATGTGATATAAAAATTAATATTAAATTGTAAAGTAACATAGAATCTCTATAAAAGCACTTAAGATAATCACATCAGCATTTCTTCACTAAAAAAGCAGAAAAAGAAAAAGACAAAAGAGTCGCTCGCGGCTGCGTCCTGTGCAAGCGGACCAGTCAACGTAAATGCCGGTTTGGTATATTGCATCCGCTTCCCACCGTAATCACATGCATGCATTACCTAAATTCTATTTTTGGAGCCATTTTTCTTACACATTTTTTAACTTTTCATACTCTTTTTAATTTTTAGATAAATAAATAAAAACAACTGAATACAATATGTTAGAAGTTATAAGTGATGGGGAGGCTGAAATGCCTCTATAAGTTTGATAACCGTGGATTGCCATCAATTGTCCTTATTTTAAAAAAATACATATTTATCATAACGTTACGTTTATTTTTATATTATTTTTTCTTCAATTATTATTACTAATTATTATTTTTTTGAGTATATCGATATTTTTATACTAAGGGAGGGGAGTTCAGCTAAGTCACACAATGGGCAGCCTAATTTGGTATCAAATTCGTCATCCACGAGATTTGAACCTAAGATCTCTCATTTCCAAGTAAAGAGGAATACTATCAAACTGTAGTACTAAGTGACTACTAATAATAAGTATTATTAAAAGAACTGTTATTACTTATTAGTACTAAAATCGATCATGTCCACTTTAAATTATACAAATACAAGAAAAGAGTGCATGTGAAAGATTATTACTATGTAGTACCATACTGATTGCACCATAAGGGCTATGCCAAACTTACTCTCTTATTAACTTTCACCGTCTAAAAGTATTCATTTTCACTTGTAAATTAAAGATTTTTAATTCTAATAATTTGAACGACGAGTTTAATACTTAAATATTCTCGATACACTTTGTAGTTCAGCCTAATTTCCCTACTCTCAATATGAAAAATAAATACTTCTAGATTTGTCATACACTCAAAGATTTATTTTTATTTTTTGGACCAGCTCCCACAACAACGGCGTACGCCTCCTTTTTTGGGTTGTTTGATAAATTATTGTAGCTCGGCTGACCAATGACCACTGACTGCTACTTCAAAAAAGGCTGCTTAGGGCGGCTTGTGGCCCAATTTATTTATGGATATAAATAAATGTATCCAACTTGTTTCATTTTTTTTAATTGTTTAGAATTTAACTAGTTGATTAAAATAAATAAATGAAAAAGTTAACTAGTTGATGGTATGTACTTCAAAATTTCTTTAATAGATTAGACTACTTGTCGAGAAATAAATAATCATGATTGAATTGAGAAAATATTATTTTTACTTATTTGTTAATCTAATGAAAATAAAATCGGACAACTTTAAGACTATTGAAGACTTACCCTAATTACTCTCAACATCCAATCATCTAAAGGAGTGGTGGTTGTGTGTTAAATTAAAAGTTGGAATAAATTATGAAATTAGGGTATTAATATGATTAAATTAATGGTATTTTTGTTGATCCATTATTTCATATTGTTGAACAACTTAACATGGACCTTGTTTTTTTATGGGCTCACATTGTACTATAATATGTATGGGCCCAAGGCCTTTACAATTTCTTGTTGAGGAATTGACTTGTTTAAAATTGTGAGCCAGGTATTTAAGCCCAGCTTTTCCCTAAACTCCATGGGTTAAATATGGATGACTACACAACTTTTAAGAGTGATTTTTGTTCCTAACTTTTCACAATATTTCAAATAACAATTTAACGTTTTAAAAACTAAACATACGTTAGATCACTAGCGTTAAGTGATTTAGAGCTTCATAAATGACGAATCAATGAAAATCAATTTTTAGCATTTGTCCACGTCATCAGTTAACATTATTGACTTCATCACTTAATGATGGCAACCTAAAGAATGTCCAATTTTCAAAACATAATGTTTTGAAAGATTGTGAATAATTTAGAATCACTTCTAGAGGTTGGGTAATTATCCATACTTCTTTTTATTTTTTTTGTCAAAAACTAAGCTTATGACTTGAGTCACACCTCTTGTTGAACGATATTAAGCTGCTACATTAGCATGTAGTATCTACCTGTATTAGAAAGGGTATCAACACCACTTAGCACTACTGACTATCAAGTGGTATTCCTCTTTTTACATAAAATGTTTTAAGTTTGATTTTTGCTGTGCAAGTTTGAAAATGAATTGTTATGCGAACCCATTGTGTAACTTAGCTTAAGTCTCTCGTCCATTAGTGTAAATCTATAAAAAAGTGTATCAACTAGTGTCAAGTTTGTGTGAATAAATAGTTTATTGCTTTCATTCTAAGTGAGATAATAACCATATTCCTTTTAACATGTGAGATAATATGAGGAACCATAACTTATAAAGAATGATATTGTAAAATACTATGTACTTGTTTGGATCCAAAATTACATCATCAGCCCGTGCAATCAAGGTCGTTGGGTGGGCATAGCTCCCAACCGTCAGATGAAAAGTTAATTATAGATATTTTTAATAAATTTCACGATAATTATTCTGATATCAAGATGTTATCCATCAAAGTGATTATCTTGGAGTTTATGTTAAAATATTTTTACATCAACAAATAGACTTTTTCTCCAACATGATTATAGTTATATTTCATCTTATCATGTGGTCTACTGCAGTTAGAGGTCTAATTTCACTAATGATGGACTCGATGGGTTTCAACTTGAGGATGCATCTGTAATATTTTCACTTGGCCGGTCAAATGGGAATATGCCACGTGAGTTATATCATGCATGGGATGAGCAGGAGATAAGGATGGCATACCATGAATTATTGGAATTGTTTCCTAGAGTCATTATCATGCATGCACGTGGTCAAGTATTTGAAAGTTGAGCCTGGCTATCACCGATTCAGGTTGTGATAATTATTAGTAAGGGATTGGCTTATCAAGAGTTA